CGGGGAGCGTCCGCCGCCCGCCGGCGCCGCCAGCATGTTCCCCCGGCCGCCGCCACGCTCCTGCGACACCTTCGTGGCGCTGCCGCCCGCCGCGGCGGGGGGTCGCGTCGTCTTCGGGAAGAACTCGGACCGGCCGGCGGACGAGGTGCAGGAGGTCGTCTACTTCCCGGCCGCCGCGCACCCGCCCGGCGCCGCGCTGGAGGTGAGGCCGCGGGGCACGACGAGTCCGGCGGGAGACGGCAAAAAAAACACCAAAAAACCCAACCTTTCATCCCCCTTTCTGTGTATTTTTAGCTCGTGGCCGATTAATCAGGGGGAGACGCTCGCCAAAGCGATGGCGTGAAAGGTAATTTGTTGTGTGCTCCGACTTCTTGCAGTGCACCTACATCAAGATTGATCAAGTGGAAAAGACCCACGCCGTGGTCCTGAGCCGTCCCTCCTGGCTCTGGGGGGCAGAGATGGGGGCCAACGAACACGGCGTGTGCATCGGGAACGAAGCGGTGTGGGGCAGAGAGGAGATCTGCGACGATGAAGCTCTCCTCGGCATGGACCTCGTAAGGTTTGCACAGGCTGTTTTGGTAAACGGTACTGAATTCGGAATTTGGTTTTGAAACATTTATTTTGAGTTATGTGTGGAAAGAGGTGCTTTCACTTTCAGAAGACACGTCAGTCTCTTCTGCTGTTCTAGCTGTGGTTAAAAATAAGTATTCCTTGGCACAGGCATTAGGTCTCTGCCAGGAGCTGGAAGCCCGTGAAAGGTATCAGGTGCTAGAACAGAATCTGTCAAGGAAATCATCAAACGTTTTTCTCTCCACAAAGTTTATACTAAACTGAACCAAGACTCTTAACAAGAGCACAGCTGGACTTCAGGAACTAGTGGTCGGGCCTTCTTCTAGGGCCTGTACTGATTTCCTATTTCCCCCATCTTTCATGGACGTATTTTTAAGTTTGAGTCTTAGCCACGCATCTCCATGTAAATAATGACAGCTTCCTGTGCCTGCCTTGCTGGGTGCTAGTGTAGCCCTTGCTAACCTACAGCAGTCAGTCAGTTCTTCTTGGTACTGTTTTCCCCAGTCCAATACCCACACGGGACCTGCAGGCAGTTCCTAGGAGCCCCCTCTCTGCCTTTCTGTATTTCCATTGGGTTGTTTTTGCCCATGCCAAGGACATAGAGGACCCACTTCAAACGAGCCCTTCAAGTGACTTGCTCCTTTCTCTTACCAGATCATACAAGCATCAGGTACATAGAGAAATAGCATTCCAAGTCAGTTTGAATACTTGGGCTGAACAGTTGTATGTAAAGTTTGTAGTTCCAACGATATCTTCCTTTTGTTTTAGGCTTGGACTGGAGAGAGCGGACACAGCTGAAAAGGCTCTTGCTGTCATAGTTGATTTGCTAGAAAAATACGGACAGGGAGGAAACTGTATGGAGAGCCACATGGTATTTACATACCATAACAGTTTTCTGATAGCCGACAGAAAGGAAGCATGGGTGCTGGAGACATCAGGAAAATACTGGGCAGCAGAAAAAGTAGAAGGTATGGATGATGCTCTTTGTTTTAAACATTTCAAATGCAGTGACAATTAGCAGTTTTCCACTTTTCATTTACCATTTCATTGAGGCATCAAACTAGCCTCCAGCTATGCACACGTGCCTGTGAACAACAGGAATTGCTTCCTCAGGCATCAGTGTGGAGTGGCTAGCAGTTTCAGAGGAGCTGAGTCACAGGGGGACCTTTTCAGAGTCGGAGATGACCACTTCTGCACTTGGAAAAGAGAGGACAGCAAGAAGGTCAGCATGAGAATGACAGCAGTACATATGGTCTTAAGGATGGTGGCAGTTGATGACAACTTCATTTGGTGACAGGGTAACACTGATGGGATTGGTGCATTGGGGCCTGAAGTGGCTGATCCTTCCAGTGGACTTAGAGGGACAAGCTATGTCTTTGGAGGTCTAAGAGGAAGAATGTAAAGATGGGAATAATCAGGACAAAACCTGAAATATGATGTTGGCAATAGAAGTAAATGAGTCAGAACTGAGTGGCAGTGGAATTTCAATCAGAAGGATACATATAGCCAGGGAGAGAGGGCCAAAAATAAACCACAGAACTCTCAGATCTTGTAGGAAACTCTTCAGTGCATAATTTGCTTTAGTAAGCTAATTGTAAACAAAAGACCAAGAGAAAGCATTCGATGTATTAAAATGACTCCTTCCTCACCTTACACACAGGAGGCGTACGGAATATTTCCAACCAGCTCTCTATCACAACCAAGATTGACAGAGAACACCCAGAATTGAAGGAATATGCCAAAAGCAAGGGCTGGTGGGACGGGGAAAAGGAATTTGATTTTGCTGCCACATATTCTTATGTAAATACTGCCAGAATGACGACATCCAGAGGCCGATATTGTGAAGGCTATAAACTTCTGAACAAACACAAAGGTATAATTTTTTTTTTTTAAGATATGCAAAGCATTTAGTGAGCTACATTAATTTAAATCATATGTTATCAGACATCTGATGCGGGCAATCATTCACATGATTTGGTGAACCAGAACTTACTAGAATAACTTTTTGCCTAAAGGAGAAATGCTGAACTTGAAGTCTTCTATTAATTTTTGCCAATTTGTTGATGAGGAAAAATTAAAACAAGGCTCACACACAGTAACAACACCGAGAGGTCACGTTATGACCATACTGCTAAATACTCTGTAAGACCTGCTCTGAAACATTTTGATAGGCTAAATATTATTACTGTACCTCTAAGAAAAAAAAAGAGGCTAAAACAAACTCACAGTGGTTTGCAGCCACAAACAGAACCTTATGAGCAACTTCAGTCTAGTACCATTCATATAGGCCTGAGACAACAGCACAGCATTCAGATATCTTGCATTTATTTTTTGACATTGATTTTTAAATCTTTGTAGTTTCACTACAACTGCTGCTGTAACATTGTGTAGTCTAATAAAACACACTGAGAGCAGAACAAAATAATTTTCTGTACTCTAAGCAGGTACTCCTAATCACTAACTTGTTGACTTATTTTTCAGACCTCTACAGAAATAAGCTATAACTTCTCTTCTAACTGCATCCACCTGGCAGGTTTTTGCTGCATCTGTATTCACTTGCTCATTTGAAGTAATTAATCTCAACCAAAATTACTTTGCACCCCTGTGTTTTTTTATTTATTTGGCTGAGCTCTGCCAGACCAGGTTTAGCATTTAATGTGTCAGAATGAATTACCTTTTGCTATCCTGCTCTAGTGATCATTGTAAACCCTGCATTCATTTTGGGAATTGCAGGTTCTGAATACTGAAAGCATTTTCATAATATGTGTATTTACTTGTATTATAATAATGCTGAGATTCTATCAGTGTTTTCATCCTAAATCCTCATTTTCAGGCATTTACCTGAGCCATTTTAAAAATCACACTAGGTGTTCAGGTTATCAGCCTCATATGGTTTCAGTTTGTTTAGATTTATTTTAAATAGTGCCCTAACTAAAAGCTGTTTGGTTTACAGCATCAGTAAAATCACTGGTTTCTTAATCTACCCTTCCCAGCTTTTTCACTCAGTGACATTACAGTTTTTTTCCAGGCTGCCTACCATGTGAAGACCATTTTTAGTTATACATTATTTATATTCCAGAAATTAGGGAATGTATTTCAGGAATACAAAATAATAAAAAAAGTCTAGTGGAAAATACACAATACCTTCTTTCTAGCTAGACAAGTTGCCAACTTGCAGTTGACAAACTGACCGTTGCTTCTTTTAATTTCTTTGATACGCATAGCTTGCTGATTTCTTGAATTCTCTGACTTTCCCAGGCAACTGTGGGAATACTTAAGAGTGTTTCCTTGCTGAAATGTAGTGCTGTGTGCCTGTCTACAGGCAATTTGAATCGTGTATTAAAAAAAAAAAAATATTGGAGACATCTGACTTAGCAGCAGAGTAATTATTTTAAGAGAAAACAGCAAGGCAGTTTACAAAAAGGATCTTTATGCAGCTAGAACTTCATTGAGAGAAACACTAAAAGATTAAATGGTAGATGATACCTTCAAGTAAAAAAAAAAAAAAAAAAAGTGAATGAACTCATGTTTTTCTTCCATAAGCATACGCTCAACTGGTATACTAAATCTGAAAACTACTGCAAGTGCTGCCTGTTAGAATATTGGATTGATTGGTGATACCATGCCAGTATTTAAACTTCAGTGTACAGCTACACATGAACAGCTATATAATTTGAACACTAGATGCAGAGACATATGTGGAAAGGGTTTGTTTCACCTAATTGAGAAGAAAGAATTATTTTCATAGAGACATTTGGCACTATACCTCACATCATAGGTAGTCGATTAAGACTTCTTTACAAATGGATGTACTGTTGTAGTTTCTGTTGATTCTGAGTATAGAAGATGTTGTTACTCCAGTGCGTCCTTTCAATTGTCAACTTGAAGCCTAAGCGCTTTGGAAGGTCAGATGATTAAAAAACCCAAAAGTGACAGTCTTGCTGTTTAATTTTCAAAGTTACACACAAAATCCATGTACAGTTGTTATTATTTTTGTATTTCCAAAGCAACATAGTGGTATTAACTGTGTACAAATACCAATTACTATTATAGTGATTTATCTTAATTTCCACACAGTTTTCAACCTTTAATCCAAGCTACTAATTTTCTTCTGAAAAGTTACTGTGCGAATGACCTTGTGCTAGCCATATGTATTCTACCTTTCTGGGAAACATCGTGTGTTGTTATCCTCCCCCTCTTCTAAGTCATAAATGTTATAGCTCATTATCACCTACTCTTTGAAATAAATACTTTGGGGAAAACAATAATATTTTTAAGTGTGTTACATATTAAGGTATGCTGTTAGGATGATTTTTTTTTTTCTGCCAACACAGACAAACTAAAATTGGCATTGCCTATTAAAGGAAAAAGCCAGTTGTAGAGAACATGCCATTTAGTTGGTATTGTAAGTAGTACTGTGTGTAAATAATTGTACTGTATCTTAAATAGGATCTATCACTTCTGAAATAATGATGCAAATTCTTCGTGACAAAGAGAGTGGCATTAATATGGAAGGTGGATTTATGACAACTGGAAGCATGGTGTCCGTATTGCCTCAGCAGCCTAATCTGCCATGTATTCACTACTTTACTGGAACTCCAGATCCTGCGAGGTGATGTAGCAGCAAGTAATTAGGATAAAGAGTTGCAAGTATCTAAATGAAAAAGTGTTGCAATTTGTCTAATTATATTCCTTTTTGCTTTTCTTTTTTCCCCTGAAAAAGCACAATCAAAAAGTAGGAGGAACATAATGTATATTATGTACATTTTAATGCTATCTACCAACCTACTTAGTGAAACACTGCTATGACACTGACTTAAACATCAGTTAGGAGATTTTTTTGTTTTTTAAGACTTCCTTCTTAAATGAAGAAATTAGAAGAATGGGAAAAAAATACATCAATCTGCTGACTCAACAATTTTAACAAAACTGTATCAGTAAAGGATCTCTGTTCTATTTTCTCTTTCTAGGTCTGTATTCAAGCCTTTCATTTTTGTGCCCAATATTACTCAGTTATTAAAAACTAGCTCCCCTACATTTGGTCATGATGATCCAGTTAAGAAGCAACCACGTTTTCAGAATAAGCCAGATCGAAGACATGAGCTCTATAAAAAACATGAAAGTGCTGCTGTAGTTATGGAAACTATCGAGGTACGTTGATTAAATTAGATTTCAGTGCAAGCAGGTGGTTTATATAAGCTCCTTGCTCACATTTTGTTAATGTGATACCATTTAATGCCCTTTGATGGATTGCAAAGAACATTGTAGTGCACCAGAAGCTCATTGTCTTGGCATCTGGCAGGCATATGTTTCAAACACTAAAAAATGCAACTAGCACTTTGCTGTACTCCCAGGCCTAGCCCCAGACAAGTATCTGTACCGCTCATCTTGCAAAGCAGCAGGCCACACATACTCCTGCACCAGTCAGATCATGGGGAAATGCTTGAGCAGCCACAGGCAAATATACAACTCCTGATAAGAGTACTTAAAACTCTTTAGGACCCTGGTCTCAGATAGTAAGGAGGGCATGCCTTTTATCATGGCTTGGTACAGACAGGAAAGGAAACAAGGTCACAAAGATAGCTGGACACAAAGGTGAAGCAGGGAGGTAATTGCTTACTTTTAACAGCAGTGTCTCTCCTGTTTACAGATACATGTTCTAAAAAATAAGACATATGCCCACTGAAGTTTTGGTAGCATAAATACCTAAAACAGCTTTGTTTATTCTCAATCCATCAGACAAGGATGCAGGGAGATGAAGTGAGTGCTAGATATTGGGAAAGATACCTAAGAAAACCTGTCACGGTGCTAACTTCTGCCAACACAAATTGTACCCTAGAAACTATTAAGAGATTAAAGTACAGACAGTAGAACAGAACTTTGTTAGGGTGAACACTGCATACTCTGTATACTTTTTAGTGAAATACAGACATTTCTTTTTGCAGGCCCAAGGTAAAGAAATGCTGAAAGAGATACAGGAGTTGGAGAAACAGAAGATAAGTGAAATGGAATCAATCCTGCAAAACGCATGTTTTGACATTAACCAAGTGGTTAACCTTTTTTCACAGTGTGTAGAAGAAGAACTTAAAATATATAGCTAAAACTACCATTTGAATGTGGTAAAATTCAGTTTTATGATTAACTTTTCTAATGAAGTAGCTATATAGATTACATCTTATTTTCAATATACTGGTTAGTATGGACGCAGATTCATATTTAGGCCAAACAGCTTTCAGTTGTATGAAGCAATGCTGAAAAGGCTCTTAAAAGCTAGGCAGTGGCTTCATCTGTATGTGGCATAAAGCTGTTAGCAGAGATAGATTTCGTCAACAGATGCAATTAGAATGTAATTGCTTGACTAAAAACAACCCCATCTCTGGATGAAGAACACTAACTCAGATTTGGAGAACTCAGTTCTAGCGTACACACATGTAGCTTTCATAGTCAAGATAATTGTAGCAGAATTTCACATTCCCAGAATTGAAATGGCCGTGCTGAAGGACTTACTTTCTGAAATGTAGAACCTATTACTTGCACTTGAATAAAAAGGAAAGTGATATGCAAGTCAAGTAGGATTGATATTCAGCTGTTTGAGAAAACCATTCTAAGGTACATTTCATATATGAACCTTCTACTCCTTCAATGTAAAATGAAGCTAAGAGTTCAAGGTATATTAAAACTAAATCAGTTACAATTTTACCATGATTTGTTGTTAAGTCCGATTACATGGAATTCAACAATGCAAGCATCCTGCAAGTTACCACACAATTTTCACTTCCCTGTCTATTCTCCCCACCCTGATACCAAAAAATAAACTTATTTACATGCAATATGATTACTGTCAAATTAATTCTGCAATACACTTTATAACATCATGTGGGAGTTTTTTAATGTTTCTCAAATTGTTACTTTTTTAAAATCGGGCAACTAGAAAGGAAGAGGTTGGGGTACACAAGTATATATATATACTCAGCTGGACATTTGAAAGGACATTTACATTTTCTTTTCATTTCATATAAAGCCTTTTAACCACGACTTGTCTTGCCAAAATTACTAGACTATGGAGTAAATTTAATCAAGCTTTTTGCCCTGTCAGGAGCTTTTCTTCCCTGATCCTCTTCAAAAGTAATGATCAATATGTGACGCTACTTTTATTATCTGTGGCAAGGGACAAACTGAGCAAACAGAAAGATGATTCTGGCTTTACTACATGATCAAGCAGGATAAAAAGTATGACTGGAAGGAAAAAAAAAACCCCCAAACAAAACCCGCACTTCTGTAAACCTTCAGAAGAGAACATCTAACATGAAATGGAGCATTAGAGCTGCAGTAGCAGTATGTGACATGACACAGCATCCCCACAGAAAGACACAGCAGACAACAGAAAGACCATTCTTTGATGATTTTTCTATAGTCAGTTTCTAGAGTCATCTCAAATGCTAAAGATGGGGCTACACACATGCAGTTTTCTCATTTTGTAAACTGTTCTATCAATCACCCCACTGGTAAAAAAAGTAAGTATAGACAAACAAAAGCAGAATGAGTAAGAAAATTGAGAGCTTTGCAGAATTTGTTCTTCCTGATCCTACAATGAAAGTAGAAGTTAACTTGGCATACAGATCCACAGCAAGAAACTAATGGGTCAGAAAAGGTTCTTGAGCTTTCTGGTTCTAGTGATCCTGTATGTACCAAGTGGCAGTAGCAAGTAAGATTGAGTAGCAGGTAAGACTGAAAGTAAGCTCAAGTTGACTGTGAACCTTTTGTGGCTGTGTTGCCACAAAATTTCTTAGAAATTCAATAGTACAGTGGATATTTGTGAACTGGGAGGTATATTTAATAAAAATTTTTCTGTATTTACCCGTTTTCCTCATGGATGTCTATATCTGACAATTGTGTGTATCTTTGTCCTATTTTTGATCATGAGCTGTTCCACACTAGCTCTTTGATAACTTCAAAGCATCAATAAATGCCAGGTAAAACTGTGCTGGAAACCAAGGTATTAGTCAAGTTTACAGGTAGCATAGCAAAACAAGAGAAACAATTTTATGCTACAATGCAATTATAGGGAAGTTACACAGGAATGAAAGTAGTGTAGGTGGTAGAGCAGGCCTTTAAGTGAACTTCTTGTCCACTTAATCATGGTGTGGCAATTAACCCTGTTAAGCATCTTGGTCTGGTTGTAATATAGGCAGATACAGTCCAATCGTTCCTCTAGCTTCTGTGCTGTTTTTTATTTACTCGTCTACAGGATACAAAGTAAAACAATGTGATGTGTGGAGATAGATCAAGTGATGTCCAAACACGCAGGATATTTTGGTACCTTTTTTTTCCTGGGATTTTATCCTCCCAGTATACATGCAGCGTAAAAACAGAAAATGAAGATGAGATCAGGAGGAATAAGTAACCCTCCCTCCCACAACCCTACATTAAAAAAAAAAAAAAAAAATCAGAATGTCCTCTAGAGGGCAATCTTTGCATGTATTTCATCTAGGAATACCTCTTACAGCTTATTTTAAAAGGTCTAGAGATTTATGAAGGATCATTATTAAAAAAAAAACAAAGCAACTGTACTAAAATTGCTACCTAGAAAACGAAAAGTTTTATATCCACTCCTGTCCATTATCACAATTATTTTGAGATTAGAGCTAGAAAAAAGATCCAGTATTCCACTGGAGTCTCAACTTACTTGTTCAGGGGGTGTTTTCACAGAAGTATAACTTCCAAGTTAACTGAGACTTATCCCAAAATAATCCACCTTCAAAATAGAAGAACTTATTGCATCACTGACCACGTCTTTAAAGCAAAGCTATTTCTAACCACCAAAAATTCTCACATCAGTAGATCAACTATTGACAGACATCAAATTGTCAACTATTTTAAAACTTGCCGGTGCTCCCCGGTAGAAGCAAGTATTTATCAGATAAAAGAGTTACTCAGCTTTCTAAAGCTATTAAAAATCTATTCTTAGCTTCCAGAAGTACCCAGTGATTTAGATTATCATATCCTGTATTTCATTCCTGGTTTCTTTAGTCTATTTATTAACCATCATAAACTTTCATCGGACTAATGGGTATGATATCAGCAGTCACAATGTTGTAACAGTTAATCTAACAGAATTTGGTGTCAGTTGTTAATTAAAGGCGTTCTCTTCATTAGATCTGTAACAGGGAGCCTTCTCTAAGCATAAATTTTGAGCAATTTCTTACTTAAACCAGATATGTTGTATTCAAATCTAGGGAATAGCAGAGCCATTATAAAAATGGGAGGCAAGGGCAGGGCTTGATGATGAAAATGAGAAAGACAAGAGTGCAAGAACAATGACCTCACATAGGACCATAAAACTGACCTAAGATCAACTTCTTGAACATTTGAAGAATTTTTTTTTTTTTTAAATTGTATTTGCTAAGTAGATGATAATGTGAAATATTCCTAAAGATCTGTTTAGGCTGTTAGATGAAAACTGGTATCTTTATGTGAACCCCCATTAACAAGTCCTCTGCCTACTTAAAAAGCATCAAGGGTGGATTTAAGACATACCCAATTTGAAACCCAAGAGCCACTTTAACAAATCTCTCAGAAAAACACATTTGTCTTAAATCTTGACATGCACACATAACATTCTGACACCTCACATCACATCAAAGCTCAGAACTCTGAAATCAAGTACCAGATTTATTGACAAGTTACAGTATTTAGAAGCCAGACATACTCATGGCTTCTGCTCTTAAGTCACATATATCTAATTATTCCAAAACATTTGATGTAGCCATCTTCAGCAGCTGTAATGGAAATATGCTATTATTTTCCTTTGTGGCCACAGCCTGATACAAATGTCAATTATTTTGTTGCTGGAAAACATTAAAATATGTCAGTTTGTATAGCATACATATGCAGTAGGATGCAGTTACGTTTCTATGAACACTGCAGAAGTGCAATAAGACTGACAGTAAAAGGAAGTATTTTTCCAATATAAGTCTTGCATGGAGTTATAGCTACCATAAAACAACTGTTTCTTGAACAATAATTTATGCTGCTAAAATCACTTTTCATTCTTAATACAATGTAGATGTATAAGTAGCTATAATAAAAATCTGTGTACTAAAAAAAAAGAAAAAAGGGAAAGACTTTTTAAAAAAAGGACGAGGAGAGTTATTCATATGCTTGAGCAAATAATTTTTTTTTTAATACCTAGGTTCCTTTCCCCCACTATATAAAATTTTTATATAGACATATAAATGCTGTTCTTGCAGTTTTAAAAGGGCAGCATAATGGCTATCAGATACTACAGTTTGTCTTTAACCTTTTCAAAATACTGCAGAAGACATACAGATTCTCAGATTCTGCCTTCATTGCACAGGAATCTGAATGACACTAGAGTAACTATTTAAACATTGTAGGAGGATACCTGAGGCTTATTAGAAACCTGTGTTAGGCAACCAATACTAAAATTTTAGTATCTTTAGCTACCCTAAACCCTAACTTGGATGTTCAGTTAGGATTCTTTACATAATAGATTTAAAAGTCATTGTATTTCATTTAAAAGGTTTTATGATTTGATAAAATTTTTCATCTTGACTTGCACAGGTATCCAAGGCTTCCATAACATCTTCATTTGAATCTGGTACTTCTGAATTAAACTGGAAAGGCTAATTTCAGAAGGTAAAAATCTACTCCTGCCAAAGCTGTTACTACCACCATAAGGCAAAACTTCAAAACCAACTGTTTATATGAAATTCCACTATATAATTTCCTAATCTGGGGGAACAGTGGGTATTTTTATGTTTTTAATATTTGGTAAATTTGTACAAAACCATTATTTATTTCACTCAATATTTCCTCAGCTTTAATCCTCTGACATTGGAATCATCTTCACAACAATTCTACTTCTACAAATGGAGATTTTTTTCTTTAAGGGAGAAACAAACCACTTGATCTGAGGAGTAAACAGCTAGAAAAAGTTCCTGGTGTTAGACAACAGTAGAGTAGTAAAAACTGGGGTATCATAGAAGAAATCCTACTTCTACGAGGTCAGGGGAAAGCCTGATCGTAAACAGGAATCAATAGTTCATCACACTAAAATATGGAAGACATACAGCAACGTGAAAAATACCTCTCAGTCATGGTTTTTTTCATTGTGGCACCAGTCACTAAAGCTGCAGGTATAATGCCTCTATAATACAACAGTGACACATATCCTTTTACTATTTGTTTTGCTCAAAATGGAAAAAATGCTCTAAATCCAGCGCATCTCCTTTTGTTCTAGTTGCATTCTGTTTGGAACGCTCATTAAATATCACTTGCTACCATTTCCTTCAGAATAGACACAAGTAGAACCACATCTCTTAAAAAGAGAGAACAACACTATTCTCTGAGAGCCCTGAGAAAGAAATACTTCCAATTTCAGTGGTGAAGGCAGAGGAGGAGGTCACACTCACCCCTAACTGCCTGTCCTCTGCCTACACGCTAAAGTCAACGGCTCTCAACTGCAACTGATCTCTTAGGAATAAAGCGGTAATACAAATATTCATCCCGAAATTCAAATTCATTCGTAATATGCTGGACGACGCCTCCTTTCATCAGTCTGTCTCCATACATCACAGCTTCACCACGGTCAGAGGCAAGGCCAACTTGCATGAGCCAGTTCACCAGGTCACAGCCAAAGAAGATGCCAGTGGAGATCTTTGCACCACACCTGTATGTCAAAGGAATGATTCACCCACATGTTCTGTAAATCTGGTATCACCACTGCACGATGGGGAAAGGCAAGGAAAAATAGCAGGAAACAAGGAAAGACATCATGATAGTTAAGAGCATGTTAGAAAAGAATTTGCAAGTTTTTTATATTAGGGACATGCCAATGTTCACTACCTTTTCCTACAGATACTTCAATGAGAAGCAAAATGAAAGCACAAAGTTATTTTAGGCTTGTGTAAATAAACTTCAGTGAACATAAGTAGCACTTTGCCTAAAAACGCACACAATGTAATTCTATTTCTTGGATACTTACTTCCCAGGTACTCATTAGCATGACCATTTCTGCAACAAAATATCTGATTTGAGTGCAGCATGACCGCAGCAACAGGGGCTCAATCTGCACTTTCATTCCATTTTATAGTTTCTCTACAGCTTTAAACAGACACTAACTGCTTACATACATTGGAAACAAAAACCATTTAACTTGCATATCTGGTTAAATAGTTACCACACAGGCAGTACTATGAATAAACAAAACCTTTACAACAAGACTAAACTAACTTTCTTTTACATATTTACGAGGCAATGCCACTAATATCTACCTAGTTGCAGTAAAAATACCATTCAGAAATTTACCTGCAGCAATGAATGTTTCTGGTTATCTAAAATCTGCTCTATGGAACCCAAGCGCAGGGTTTCTGAAGATGATTAACAGCTACACAAGACAGCAAACCCCAAACTTCTTTCTCTAGTTTTTTTAAGTTAAAAGCAGCAGTAACACAGAGCAAGTGTTAACATCTATTAGCAGAGAAGCAAAAATTAAAATAAATAAAAAATACATGATTACAAGGTCTCAGTTACAGTATGTTTAAAATAAAGAAGATAGGATCAAGTTAGATGAATATTTAAAATGAGAAGATAAATACTTTAACTCACAAGGAGAAATAAGACATGAAACCAGTTCCACATAAACTTAATATTAAAACAATGAAGTAACAAATGTCAGATTTTGATGTATTCTCAGGTGGATATATGATTAATAAAAACCACAAAATCCAACCAAATGAACAGCCCAAAGCCCAAGAAACCACATAGCAGTAGAGGCACAGGAAACACAGCTGTAAAGCCTGTCCTATTTCAAAATATTTTCTGATACATCTTTTCTGTCTGGCATGAAAGAAGCAAGTCCTTGAACTGACATAGTTCATTTCTCCTAAATGGATAACTTTATTACTTTATTTCTTATGGAACATTACTGACTTCTGAGGAGACTGAATGAAATCATGATGCTGTAAAAAACAGTTCTGGAATGTGGTTTCGGATTACCTGACCACTAAAAGACCACCCCATCCCACCAACCTAGTCCTGCTTAAAAGCTCACGTGACAAGAAAAGTAGAAGTGTCCTATTAGAACAATTCTTCATGTCTCCATTTCATACAGTAAACATTTAAATAAAGGCAGAATCTTTTTCTTGTTCCTGCTGCTTCTGTCCACATTTTTCTTCTCATCCACCTACAGATACCTGAATACATAATCCTTGATTTGGGTATGATAATTTGCCTCTGAAAGCTTTGCTGATCTCATAATTTGAGGTTTAGGCTTCATGAGAGGAATGAGCAAAAGAAATTGTATGAACTCAAAAGGTGTAAGGGCCCCCAAAACCACTATAATCTCACATATTGAGTGGCCTCTGAGTACACACTGACATTAGTTTCAACAGTTTCACCTCCTGTAAAAGCTATTAGTAAACATTCCATCACATAAGTACTGACACCTTCTTAATCTCAAAACAAAACAAATGAAGGGTCTCAAGTTTGACAAAACTCATAGACATATGCACTCTATTACAGGCATTATCATCTCCATTTTTTGAGAAAGATCTTCTCTCCTGAACAGCTAAATAGAAAAACTGGGGCAACGCCTTAACAATATGAAACTTTTTTATAATTTATATAAAACCTAGATGGGATAATGTAATAACCTGCACTTCAATGTTTCAGTGTGAGACTAGAAACATTTCTCTGTTACTGCTAAATTCTTAATCCTCTCCTTGAGGTTTGAATAAATATGCCACAACAGGAATCGCCCACAGACAGATTAAACCGCATTTCATTATTTCCAAAAGGTGAGTTATAACCTTTGTAACAGGTTATATGTGCAGGGAGGAACCTTACCTTCTGCCTCTGACAATACTTTTGACACAGTGATCTCTATGATAATGAACAAACTGTTGACAGGTCATCCTGATTTCCTCAGGTACAGAGGGATCTGTATGCCCTGGTGCTTCTCTTCCTCCCCAGAAAAATTCAAGTCTTTTTAAAAAAAAAAAGAAAGAAAGAAAATAAATTAAAACCAGCAAATCAACCAGAGGCATTTTTAAGGAAACTGCAAATAATAGAACGGAACTCATAGGAAGCTTGTCACAACTCTTTTACTGGTTTTGTGCCCAATACTTTATCTACAATCTTCCTAATATACTTGTATGGCCTTTGAACACTGAGAGGTTTTATTCTAGGCACAGGCAGAAGGAAAGACAGAGAGTAGTTGGGATCCAGCTTTAGCTGCTGGAATCACACTGCAGACAGCTAACTCTGAGTTAAAGATGGCTTTGTACAACTTACACGTCCACAGTGAAAGTGTCCATCCACACAATGAACTTGCATGAGGTTATGAATACAGGACTTTAACACAGTAATGATATAATCTGGTTCAGCATTCACATCTAAGTTTTAATTATCAGCTGAAATTATTTCTGAAGATCCCTCACCTCACTGATCCAATCACATACTTCACCATCATTTGCCAAAGATTTTGTCATAAGGGAGCCTGTGGGATTTTTGTCTTTGGGAGTCATTAGGACAGCAGTAAAAACTCATGCACAGTGAACTGCAGTTAGCTCTCCACAACTGGGAGATAAAAGAAATTTGGAAGACCAAACAAATAGAAAATGGAATACAATGGCACTGAACAGCCAATACCTTTTAAAAATTATTATCATTAATTATTAAGTTTGTAGGTGTAAGTGTACAGATTCTATTTACCTTCGCTTGAATGGTAGAATGATTAAATGCTTATCTAAGCCAAAAATACCAAAGCAAATGAAACCCTGGAGGAAAAAATATAGAAAAAGCAACATTAAGCAAAACCTTTTGTTTCTAAAGAACAGAAATAAAATGTTAAAAACTTATTGTCACAACACATGTGAAAAGTATCCCTCATCTCTAGATACCATTCAAAATACATTTTGTTTCTGCTTTGATTTTTAATTTGGGCCTTAGAAAGACAGATTAATACATAACAGTCCATGAAACAAACTCTTCAAGAAACAGTTCAGTAAACCTAATGCTGTGACATGCCACCTGACACTTAAGAATAATCGGCTAAGCTTACATAGCTAGTTATTTAAATCTGTCTTTGAAGAACTGACTTACTGTAATTTGAATGCTAGAATTCTCTCTAGTTAAATTATTTCTCTGTGCCACTTTTGTATCAAAACTACTATCATTACTTGATACTGTAGTGCATCTTGTAGGTGCACTTGTCCATGGATCTGTAAAACATTAGTACGCGTATTAACACTGCCTTGCTTTCACCTTCATAGATAACTGTCCTGGCTTCAGCTGGGATAGAGTTAACTGTCTTCCTAGTAGCTGGTACAGTGCTCTGTTTTGAGTTCAGTATGTGAAGAATGTTGATAACACTGATGTTTTCAGTTGTTGCTCAGTAGTGTTTAGACTAGAGTCAAGGATTTTTCAGCTTCTCATGCCCAGCCAGGGCACCTGACCCAAACTGGCCAACAGTGTATTCCATACCATGGGACGTCCCATCTAGTTTAGGAACTGGGAAGGGGGGGGCAGGGATTCGCCGCTCGGGAACTGGCTGGGTGTCGGTTGGCGGGTGGTGAGCAATTGCCCTGCGCATCATTTGTACATTCCAATCCTTTTATTACCACTGTTGTCATTTTATTAGTGTTATCATTATTAGTTTCTTCTTTTCTGTTCTATTAAACCGTTCTTATCTCAACGCAGGAGTTTTACTTCTTTTCCTGATTTTCTCCCCCATCCCACTGGATGGGGGGGGAGTGAGTGAGCGGCTGCGTGGTGCTTAGTTGCTGGCTGGGGTTAAACCACGACAATAACAAAGCTACCTTGTGCCAGTTTGCACTGAAATAGGCCATGTGCAGCTGGAACAATTAAACATCTAACTGTCAGCTATCAGCCAATGGTGCTGTAACTGAAACTGAAGAGATAATAACTTAAAGCCTTATAGCAGAAGTATCCACGTAGCCACCTTGCACCTATTTAGTTATACTGGTGTAACTCCACAGAAGCGACACCGATAAAGCTTTCTGGTACAAATAAGGCTAAAATCCTACTCTGTTTCCATAGGCATTTGGCATTCAGTTGTCATTTGTACCTTTGAAAGTGTTCATGCACATAAAAGACGTGCATTATGATAAGAAAGCTGTCAAAGCAAAAGAAAAAGCTTGAGGAAAAAAAGGCAAAACAACATAAGGAGCTGGTGACTTCAGCATTGTTTGAGGACTTCAGCTTACAGTGCTTGTAACAGCATCTGCTGCAACACCCACTAACAAAGTAATTTTCAGAACAAACATTGATAAGTACCTGACCAAAATTAAAAACAGCACAGAAGAACTGCAATTCCACATATAGCCTTCCAGGCTCTTGGTTGAACAGCCACCACAAACAACTGGAAAGATTCTGTTAAGAAAAAAAACAACAAAACCCACAAGATTAATTTGATTGTTAAAAATCAAAAACACTTTCTTACTCTTCACATGCTAATAGATTCTTGCACAATTTTCACTGTCTTTGTTTAACAAATCATTCAGATAAAGACAAATCAGAGGGAATAAACACCTTAAACCATCATTGTAGTTAGGCTTAATAGCTGGGAGGAGGGAGGGGGAAGGGCTTGTTCGTTTTTAAACAAAACAATGCAAAACATACCGGTGTAAAGGTCCTGTTCCTCTACACAAGGAACTTGCCTTAAGCATACTTGGGTATTCAACCTAATACAGACAATATTAGCCCTTACAAGTTTGCAGTATTTGTCTTCAGGCCTGTTTAGCTGAGACCAGTGCTTTCTACATATTTTCTGCATAGTTAAGATTGTGTTAAGCTGAAGCACATACCACTCCAGCTATTTTAGATGCCTGACAAGGAAAAAACCTCCAAAGTTAACCCCTTTGGGTGTAAAGGCTAATTCTTTAATGTAACTGGTCTCATTTCATAGTATCTATGTAATCATTCAGATACAATTAAAATAGAGGCTAACGTTTGGGATACCTCTTAAATACAGAAGATGTAAAAAAATATATTAGCATGGAACATATTATACAGGAAATTTGAGAGAGGGAAAACTTCCATTCTGTAATCTAACAGAACCTGAAAAGCAACAATAGCACTCATTACACTACATAGTTGTGCCACACTGTCCTTCTTTGCAGTACTGCATGTTTGTGCCATAGTATTTTCCATTTCAAATAAAAATACTTGCACCCTAATTGTCATCCACAAGAAGTTCAGCTTTGAGAATTACATTCAAACAGAAAGAGTTGTTTCTCATCTTTGTTAAAAATTCAAATTATAACCCTAATACAGGAGCAGCCACCTTCACAACTAGGATCTAGTCAGTAATGATGCTTGGCAACACCAACTTAGCTACATTGCCTCCAAACCCCCACTAAAAGCAACAAAATTGCATTTTCCCATTTCAAGTAAAGTCTTACATTATTCGTCATTACTAAAGCACCTCAGAAATCCAAGTTTCAAATAAAAGCACGATCAGATGGAACAATTTTTGTACAGTCTCCTTCAGAATTTACTTTATATTTTTAATTGATTATTGTCTAGGGAAGAAGACTAGCTCTTGAGAAAAATGGGAAGATGGGCAGTAGTGATGAATTAATTACCAAATGATATAATACCATTTTTTCCCTCTTTAGGGTTCTCCAGTGCAGCTTGCTCACTAACACCATCAGTCTTAACTTTCCTTTAATTTATGATGTGGCACAGAAAAATTAATTTTATGATATCCCTCTTCCAGTAAGGGACCAAATTAAAGCCTCTAATTTATTTAATGAATTGTTACATGAGTAATTGGAAGATTTTTACTGGACTGTCTACATAGCTTTCCTAAGAATCATTCCACCTCAATGAGTTAAACAACACGGGGAGAAAAAATATTTACAGCAAACAGGCCAACAATAAGAAGTAAGCACAGCAGCACATGTCTGGCCAGCTGTTTGTCTCCAGTCTGTAGAAGCTGTTCTTCCTGAGCCAATACGCAGGTTCGAGCACTGCAATGACTCACACACTGATCAGCTGAAAAACAAACCAGAATTTTTCATTAGGCTTCTAACTTACGAACTCCATGAGCAAACTTGCTGAGTTAAATTACCTTGTAAGTATCTGTACTGAAGTCACACACACAAAATTTAATATTAGCTTTGACAATAACCTGTTCAGACATCAATTCTCAAATGAAACAGTAGTTTACATGTGCTCCTAAAATGAAGGAACTTTTTGCAACAGAACTTAATGCAAACTTAGATATAATGAAAAAAAAAGCCACTTCTCAGAATAGTTTTTAAACTTAGAATTAGTTTCTGGAATAAGTATTTCAAATATACCATCAGCTCTAATGTTCTTACTCTGTATCTCAACGTTGTTGAGCTCCATTTATTTCAGTTTTGTGATTGTATTTCGAACATGGTATATCAGAACACTGTCATAATTCTATTAATCAAAAGAGCCAAACACACAGAGAATGGATGCTTGTCTTCCAGCTACAGAGTTCTAAGGAATTCTGAGTACCTTCCTCTAGATGGCACTGAAAATCTTCCTGGCAAGGACATACCTAAGAATTTGCACCAGATACCTGTCATAGCAGTTCAGTGGGACAGTAGAAGGATTAGTTTTTATTGCAGCCAAAGTTACACAAGTGTATCCATTACAATTTGCTTTTACCGATTTATAGTTTTGACATGTTCACTCAGTAGGTCGAAAAAATTTCCACTCAATTCTAAAGTATTTTCTACCTTATCTTTTAGGATAAGAAAATTAAACTGGCCTTCCTCTATCATTGGAAGACATTTTTATGATGCTTGTCTGAATTACTTAATAGATAAAATATTTGGCAATAAGTGGAAAGCTGCATTTTGTGAGAGGAGACATAACTAAGTATGTTTCAGTGTGAAATATTTAGATTTGTTGAAAGTTATGTTGCATCCAAACAAAGCATAAGGCTATGAACTTCTTTGCTAAGGATGCAAAAAACCAAGAAAATAAGAAAAAGAGAAAGGCTGCGCTGCAGCTAGCTTTGATTATTGAAAGTGATGTATGATGAAAATGGGCTGAGCATGCAGTTTTCCATCAGGTGCTGAACAGTCACTTTGATCCGATCCATTTTTTCCTATTTCAGTGACTCCTAAGGCCCCCTTAGTTAATTTTTTTTATCTCTTTCCCCTAGACATGAATAGTACAGCAGCATGGACACTTGATCTAATCTGCAGTAAGTGCTTGCTCCTCTAGATCTTATTCAGGTTTCTCATGCAAAACCTGTGCATGATTACAACAAAGCCTTCAAAGGCCTTTTTAGAAGACACAAGATGTGAATATGAGAATGTAAAAAAGCGTGTTTAAGTTGAAAACTTGAAGCAAAGTAGGGTTATGTACTTCTCAGCATCCAAAGAAGGCAATGATGGAGAGGAAAAGTCTGAATGCTCAGAAGGATGTGTTAAAGTAGCTTAGTGGTAAAAAAACCCAGACCAAAACAACTGTCCATGTTGAGCACTGAAAGATTACTAATAACTATCAGGCAGAAGAGAACAAACACCTAACATATTGCCTAATGGTTGAATTTAATATAAGTTATCTAGGTAGAGTTGAGAGAACAACAGCCCAAACAGTTTCTTTGTGAGAACAACACACATAAATGTTGTGGAAGAGTTTGTTCTATTAAAACAAGGAGACACTACTGCTTTACCTGTCTCAATTGCAGGAACCTTGCTGTCAACAACATTTGTCACTGCTTTGCTCTCTCTAGCACAGGACAAGTCACCATTTGTTGTTTGACAAGAACAGCAACCTATTAAGAGTATACAGTAACAGGATAGTTAGCTTCCTTCACTACCATAATTTATTTTCCAAGTATAACAATATATTCTATACAGCTTTAACTACTATGCTCAAAAATAACCCAAAAGGAGAGAGCAGACTTAATTTTTCCAATTTGCTGAGAGGGTGAATGGGTTACACTACTAATGTATAGAAATATTTAACAGCACTACCACCATGGAAGCAACACAACTACTTTTAGCTAGAGGGAAAACATATGGTAAGTGATCAAAAAGGCTACATACAAACAAGGAGGATTAGAAACACATTGAGTAGCAATGCTCTGGCATATAATTCATTCTTAGAGAGACAGTTTAGTGGGTAAACAATCTAAGACGCCTAGTGGACTGCATTTATCACATCCTTATCAAGATACCACTACTTACATAAGAAACATACATATGCTTTTTTTCCTGTCTACTTCCCCTACCCTTACAGTGACAACCATCAAACTTTCCTTAGAAACATAAACCTAAATCCTAAAGCAGTTATATCTAGATTTTCTTCTGTCCTAGTGTAACACCTGAAGGTGTAAACAACTGTCCTTCCCAGGTCAGAATTAAATTTGGAACGTTATTTTATTGCATCCCGAGCCATTTATTCTTTTACAAATCTACTTTCTCTACCTCTTTCTGCAGATGGCTGTGCAGAAGATCCTGGAGAAGGCTGAGGCACAGTGGCTGAAACTCGATTCCCCTCACTCCCTTCCACTTCAACCTCCTCCACTTGGCTACGTGGTGAGTATGGGTTCAATACCTCATAGTTCGACTCTTGCCTATTTCTGTTCATGCACATAAGTGAGATACCTGCCATCAGTATACTGATGAACAGGATCACTGCTGTGGTAATTATCTGTTAAAAGAGCAAGGAAAATACACTTAAATACAAAATAAAGGAAAATAGTTGTATATATCTGCCTTTCTAACTTCTGTAGTTTCCTAAATAACTAACAAATGCATCTGAATAAGACAGTTTTCTATATTTACTGCTCTTGCATCTTGTAGCACTGAAAGAGCAATCAGTACATGAGATTTAACTAATTTTCCTTGCCTGAGTAACTCAGGGGTTTTTTTGTTTTGTTTTTGTTTTTGTTTTTTTTGTGAAGCGGTGACCCCTATTTCCCACACAATCCAAAACCATCCCCTCATCATCATCTTTCCCCTCAGGATCATTAGTGCTCCAGTTTAAGTTCTGTTCAGGTACCTTTTAATTCCAAAGAGGAATGTGTTCTTGTCACCCTCTGGCACAGCTCTAATTTCCATGCTTTTGCCAATGGGGAGCATGCTATTAATTAACCTTTCCTTCTAATCATCTGCCACTGATACCCAGAGTCCACTCTGAGGCTATTCAATATTTGTGAAAGCACCACATGAATAATCCTGAGAGACTCATAGCCTCTTTATCCATAAGAAAGATGGAGGAAAACATGACAAATACCGATGCCAGTGTATTTTACATCCTCTGATAAGAGGAACTATTAATTGGTAAAAATGGTAGTTCATGCTCAGGGACTTTCAACCCATGATTGTGCAGAGAAGTCTCCCGCAGTGCAAGCAGTTACTGCTACACAGTTAATGTAGATTCTATCTATTACAGACTGAAAGCCATTAATTAGCTATTGGATAGTAATAGTTTTAGATAATTATCAAGTGAGTAGACAAATTAGTCACCAGGAAAAGGGCTCTGCAATTCATTACCACTCCTAATCCTTTTCTTTGGGAAGCCTACTCCCTCTTTTTCTTAGTCATAGTTGCCTAAACGTGAAGGTCCTTGTTCAAGCAAGTTTTCCTAATGGTTCATTATAGAAATACATTTTTGTGTCAATCTATAAGCATTCTATAATGATACTGTTGTTATGGTAACCTGTGCTTTGACTGAAAGCTACTTAAATAAGCAAACAGAAAACACAATTTCTCAGTAATGTATTGGAAGTGGCAGAAGTCTGAAGTGATGAGGACAGAACACGTTCATACCTGATATTTTCCATAGAAAAAGGCAGAGTCAATACTAGTGTTGTTACGTTCACCAACAATTAGTAAGATTCCCACCAGAAGTGTTGGGACTCTGAAAGAGCAAAATAGGAAGAAAGTAACCTATTTAGCACGCTCCCACTAATTATACAGGGAAACATCTGAATTAACTTACCCCCATCCAGCTATGATAATAAACCCAATGGGAATCTTTACTGTTTCTCTCTTCCTCAACAGAAACAAAGAGAAAGACAGAAAACCTACAAAAAAACAAAAACAAAAACAAAAGAAATGCCTTGTTTATTATTAAAAAGGGAACTAGTAAATACAGACTCTAGAAACCCTATGATGCAACCTGCTCAACAACCAAGACATTCTTCTCTGACTTTCAAATAGTCCAAAATTGGTTTTCTAGATGTATTCTAAGAAAGTAAAATAGAAACACCTATTATCTTAAAAAAATCATATTAATAATGAAACATTGAAGGAATTCCAGGACATTTTATATTAAACATCCACTTATAAATGTTTAGAAAGGTTCACAAGCGTATAAAAGATGTCAAGAGAATATTTAAGACACAAGTAACTACTTTCTTAAGGTATCAACAGTAGTTGTTCTAGACTGACACTCTTAATTAACCAACAAAGAACGTTGTATTCTGTTACATCATTTCTTGAAACACTGACTAGCGCTTTATAAAAAGTCAATGATAAATTTAACAAAAAAGTTTTACATATTTTTACCTATATAATTATGCATGGAACTATCTTCTGGACCTGCCTATTCTATTCACAGCTCAGAAGCTCAGCAACATTACCCATGCTGAAGCAAAGCTAGTATTTATGTTAGGCTATACTAATCACGAGCTACCTATTTCAGCTAAACATAAATACAACTTACTCCACCACAACACCACGGGAATTAAACCCTTAGACTTCTGGACTCAAGAACAGTATAAAAAGTCTCCTGAATACCCAAAGTCTCCTTTTTAATCATACAGTAAGGTTCTCCAAGCTTCTTGATGCATCTTTCAATTCTGCCTATTTCAAGTAATGCCTTCATTAATCATCTACACCTGCAGAACCCACACATTGTTTTTAGAAACTACAACTGCCAGGGGAAAAAAAAAGTTAAAGCTACTTTGGTATTTCCCTTCATTCTCTATTTCCTACTTTTTTGAGGCACAAAGGTTTAAAATCTACTTAATGCTGAATAATCAATTTTTAAACTCTGCAGTAATTAAAAATCGCCAATAAGATTTTGACTAGCTGAAGGGCAACCCACCACATTCACTCTATTTGTAATTGCTTCTGTCTCAAGAGCAGGTTCTTGTCTTTTGCTACAAGCTAGCAAGGCTGCTGTATCTAGACCTGCTCTAGGTATAAGCTTCCAATAGCAGAAGCAGTGCCTTACACTGAGCCCTGTGTTGCTAGTGCTGCAGCCTGGCACAGCTTACAGGTATGCATATTTGTAGAACTACATACAAGTGAAGTGTCCTGGCTTCAGCTGGGATATAGTTAACTGTCTTCCTAGTAGCTGGTACAGTGCTATGTTTTGAGTTCAGTATGTGAAGAATGTTGATAACACTGATGTTTTCAGTTGTTGCTCAGTAGTGTTTAGACTAGAGTCAAGGATTTTTCAGCTTCTCATGCCCAGCCAGGGCACCTGACCCAAACTGGCCAACAGTGTATTCCATACCATGGGACGTCCCATCTAGTTTAGGAACTGGGAAGGGCAGGCGGGGAATCACCACTTGGGGACTGGCTGGGTGTCGGTCGGCGGGTGGTGAGCAATTGCCCTGCGCATCATTTGTACATTCCAATCCTTTTATTACTACTGTTGTCATTTTATTAGTGTTATCATTATCATTATTAGTTTCTTCTTTTCTGTTCTATTAAACCGTTCTTATCTCAACCCAGGAGTTTTACTTCTTTTCCCGATTTTCTCCCCCATCCCACTGGGTGGGGGGGGAGTGAGTGAGCAGCTGCGTGGTGCTTAGTTGCTGGCTGGGGTTAAACCACGACATGAAGGAACAATTACTCTGAATAATATAATAAAATTATTTCAGTACATTAATCTTTTATTACACTACCTAGGTTCTGCCTAGAAAAATCATACCTGTCCACAGGTAGGTACCATAAAGTGAGCTGTAGAGGAATATAAATACTAGGATCTGCATGGTGATGTCTTTCTCTTTAACAATGAAATTCCATACCACCATTCCAATGCAAGCAATAAACTGGAAAGAAAGGTAGAGATGACATCATTTAAACTGGGAAAGCAGGATGACAAGAAAAACTGAACACAGTGTAATATAGCTACAATAAGCTTCAAAACTCCATCCCCAGATGCACTGGAGTGTGATTTTATGAATTAGATAGTTCCCATAGCAGCAAAGCAGTGCAGCAGTAAATTCGGTATTACAGTTATATCACTGACTATAGTACCCTATTTTCAGGAGGGGGGTTTTTTGACAGCAATTATATAGCTCAGATAAACTGAGAGTAAGGCAAGTCAGAAAAAAATATATAAACTTTATATATATATCTTATAATAAGAAAAATGTAATGCTTTTGTTAAGTATAAACCATTTATCTGAAAGAATTTGGGCATGAAGCTGAGGTCAACAGATGTTTGTTCAGCCAAGAATTATACAATTCTTTACAGTTTTAGTACTGAAGAAATCTGAAAAGATAGGCTGAAATATTATGGAAATAGTAACACAATAGTTGAAATTTTTTTTAAGATGAAAGCTAACTTTGCTGTTACAGACAAGAAGCACCTGCAACTCTCATACATGACTTTTTTCAAATGTGACTCCATGATCAGACCTCAGAGAGTTTACTATATATATTTTTTTTTTTTAAACTACAGAACACTTCAGAAAGCACTACCACACAGATATATTACAAGCACAGACTGCTCTCACTGAATTTAACAGCAGTTGTGCAGTTGACTTTAAGGGAAGAAGGAACATGTACTTTGTAGTTTTCTCTCAGTTTAAATAACAATTAAAATTAATCCAGAGCTATTTGGCTTTGCCCTTCCCTAACCACCAGCCATGCATTCCCACACCCCTTCTTTGCATCAGCACTGGCACCCATCTGATCCCTCAGCAAGCCACTTCAGGGAGCTAAACCAGCATGGGGATTAGTTTTCTATTTAGCTCCTTGAATCATGTCACCATAGAGTCGAACACATGCTGCTGCTGATCCTGGCATTGCTCACTTTCAGACTGGCATAAATTGATACAGAAGTGCGCTCAACAGTATTAGGCAGTAACTAAAAATATATTTCAGAAGCCACTCTCTATTCTGATTGCTTATAGTTCTGTTTGAGAACCATACTACCAGCATCAACTATCATTTTCTTCAAGGGTGCATTTTAAGGCACAGAAATTGTTTAGACGAGTCATACATTAGATTCCCCTACCCTCCATAGAGGGCTACAAAGATATCACTATAGAAACCAAACTTGTAAAAATGTTAAAAGTAAGACTTTAAAAAAACCAAAACTCACAAAACAGAATTCTTCTTACTACTGACCTGAGCAACAAGTAGATTTGTTGTAATCATATGAGGAAGCTGTTTGTATTTCTTACTCAGAAGAACAACAATAAGAGACCAGATCTGTAACATAAAAGAAAAAATTTAATTTAAGAGTAAAACAAAACCCAGATGAACAAGATGAGTATTCTGGCAGACTATGGTGAAACTAAATATACAGCAAATCTTCTTGAAAAGTTTCTTAGCAACATGACTACTGTAGTCAGCTCCACACCATCTGCTGCCAGTCCTTATGCCTCAGCAACTATGGCCAGAAAAACCAATCCATCTTTGTGTTCTCATGATGGTGAAATATTTCCAGGAAGCACCAAGAGCTTGCCTCTAGTGTACAGAAGCCTGGTTGTTCCTCAGGACATAAATGACCACAGAGTAGCTTGGCAACTTAGAATTTAAAATTCCTCCCCCTACCCTGAATCTCCTAAAATGGTCTGTGACAGCAAGAGGCAGCATTCACTTGTGGCTTCCCTTGAGGCACAGTTTCAAGACAAGAGGACTTCAGTGAGACAACAACTTAAGAAAATTCCAACTCCCCCCAACATGGATATTTTTATTGTAAAAAAGCAAACAAAATAAACACACTATCTGTAGTGCCTATAAAGCCGAAACACAATTTATATTGGACTTCTGGATTATCAACCCACTTTTCAAGAACAGAATTTCTAGGAAAGGAATTTGGTAAAGCTAAATTAAAACTTCCAAGCTAAACATTTTAATTAATAATCATTAATGCTTCATTAAATAAATATTCACTGGCACTTCTGGAACTGAAGTTTGTACGCAGCCTCCATTACTGTGATATCCAAGCACCTCACATGGCTTGATGTAATTATTCCCTGTGGTGTAAGCTAGTACTGTTATTCCCCCACACCCTGTTATTTAAAAAAAAACCAAACAACAAAAAAACCAAAAAAACCCCCAAACTAAAAGGACAAACTCTTAAGCCCTGCACTAGTGCTCAAATTCACTTACCCACCTTTCTCTACAGTGCAGCTTTCCAGCTGACCCACTGCTAAATCAAGAAGATTTTTAACTCCTTCCTCATCCTTCTGCAACAGGATATGACAAGGAAACATGAGTCTCATCTTACCATGACTCAGTTTGCTGCTTATGTACTAAAACTAGCCTGACATGACAGTGTGCTTTTGTATTTCAATTCATCAACACCTACCAGAGAAATGAGGCTGACAATACTTATGTCAAAGCTAACATTTTGCAGTGCAGATGCCAGTGGGTTGGGATCCATAGATGGAATGGTCAACAGCCATGCAGAAACATACATAATAGGTGCAGACACAAAAGTGCTTATCACCATGCCTGAGGTAATCTGCAAAGAGTCAAACAGAAACAAAATCAGAGTTAATCAGATCTCAAGCTAAATAATCTGTTTTCAGAAATACAACCACTGGCAAAATTGTACCTTTGAATTAAACATACATAGACCTTTAACAAATCACCGAGTTGTTTCTATAACAAATTATTTAGAATTTGAGCCAGAAAGTATCCATTTTATACATACAGTGAAAATGAAAATTTTAACAAGCTTCTAAAACAGCAGGAATAGAGAGTTCCCTGCTGCAAACTCTTGCAGAGCTTTTTCATGGGTGTCAAATATACTAATGACTACAGTCTAGGGGTGGATTTACAATGTCACAATTTACTTTTGGATGCAAATATTCACACCATAAATAATTAAGGAAACATGTAGTTATGCAAATACTAATATGCACCAATTCCTGAGCAGCCATATATATTTACATTTAAGTGATTCCTATTTTGGCTTCCCATTGTCTTTCTGCTTTCTAGAATTTGCACAGTGATGGCAGTGTGAATTGATACTCATACTACAGATCTCTGTTTTAAAGAAATTTCCTGAATTTTTGGGGCTCAAGATTTTATCTTGTAAGGTTTACTTTTAGTGTCCTCTTTTTTTTTTCCCCTTTTCTTAAAAAAAAAAAATAAACTAAACAAACCAAAAATAGGTAACATTAAAAACAATGGAACTCAACAGGAATGTTTTAATGTCACTTCAAGAGGAAGAAAGGAAACAGTTACAAAATTTGTATTTTCAGTTGAAAAGATAATTGATATCCTCTACTATAAAAAAAAAAGTAAAATGCATTTCTATCGCAAGATTTAACTGAAAGGCAACACAACAGAATCAGTTAAAGGATACATTCTTCCATAAATTTTCAGCATTAATCTAACACTGTTCTTACTGAAGTCAGTAACATCACTTAAGTTTTTTCCTACAGATAAGGTCTTTTGAAAAACAAACAAACAAACAACAAACCCACAACAAAGATACAAGTTCTTTAAATATAAAGTTATCCAAGTTCTTCCTACTAGAGTCACAAATAAGAAAAGTATGAGGATTTATTTATGAACATGTACAATCAAGACACTTGAGACATCAGGAAATAATGCTTAATTAATAATCTGAAATATAATCTACCTTTGAGATCTAGGGAGTACAAGTAAATCTAAGGAGTCTACACTACAGAAAAGCCTACTCATTTATTTAAGTATTTCATCAATAAAGTTAAGCTCAAAGTTAGTATATGTTTGGGAAAAGCTAAATACATACAATTCCTACTTCCATATTAAATTGACTTGCAAATATTGCAACACCAGGTGCTGCTGGAAAAACTCCATAAAGAAATGCATAGTTTGATAAACTGGTGTGGTTGACTATGCTGTCACTCTTGTCCAAGAGTTCCACCATTTCTCTACAGAGAAATGGCATCATAAGTCTGAAAAGAGAAGGAAAAAAGTAATTATAAAAATATTACTCAAGCTATAGCACTAGACTCTTCTTTACTCAGAAAATGAACCAAAAGGAAAATTGAGGTTTGTTTGAATCCTGTTTATGAAAAGCAAAATACTGACATCACTTTGAATGATTGCCTTTACTGTTAACGTGACATTTACCAGCGGATTAAAAATTTTGTCACCAATTAAACCAAAAAAGCCCACAGACAGAAAAAATGGTAAATGTGACAACAAACTCTGGGATATAAGCACACTCTCTGATTATACAGACACATTCTTTGTATAAAGCTCAGATTCAGAGAGGTAAAATATAAAAAAAAAATCCCTCATTTTTCAACTGTTAAAGTAATAGTAGCTATAAGCAGTCAGCAGCTTTGAAATTTAGACCACCTTTCTGCAAGCTGTCTGAAATACAACAAGGGCTCAAGCTTAAGTATCCCATTCTGAAAGTTTTGGCCAGCAAAAAAAACCCTGCATCAATGCTATTTTGTTTGCTTTTAGCAATAACGCAGATCTCGCATAGACTCACTATGTAAGCCTTACACAGGCTAATTACATAAACTTACCAGCAGACCAAAGTGGTAACATTAAAAACTCTTTTTTCCTCTTGTTCTTACAAAATTTGTCATTGAGGTGGTTTACAAACTAGGTCTTTACGTTTCCTAGTTAGTTGTACTGATATTCAAACGCACTTTCAAATTTTACAGCATAAACTTAACCACCAAACAATCATGCTATTATGTTAATTGCAGGTCTGTAGCAAATAAAAATATTTTGTTCACCAGTAGCTGAGATATATTCAAGGGAAGATAATGATGGCATAATTTCTAAATACAAATTGTCACTTATTCATGCTTAAAAGTCAGTTTAAGGGTGTAAAGCGACCATTTTTAAGCTCTTCCAATATAGCAGTTTCAAAGATTTATAGACAAAGCAAGGAAAACCAACTAATTTAGAGATGTATTGTGTAATCCAAAGAAAAGACAAATACTAATAAAATAATAGTTAAACTCACACTTGTCTAACTATTTAACTAGTAAATTTTAATTTAAGCTAGTAATTCCCCAAACACCCAATTTGTGACAGATAACCTGCAGGCAGTCCATGAAGCCACAGCACCCCTAATTTTTTTTCTCTGCAGAGCCTGTCAACAGGTCTGTGGTCTGCTAAATTTCCTTTCAAAGTTAAGAGTTGTGTACTACCAAAGAGTTTGGGAAGCACTCACCCAGAATACTGCAAGTGAAACATACTATCACTATAGTGATTTTGGGAAAAAAGCCACCTGACCAGTATATTCAGAGCTTAAAACATCTAGAGAACAAAATTATAGAAGTACATAAATCAAACTTACAGTTTAGCTGTGATGAGAAGGATCAGTGCAACAAACATACCCTTTGTCAGTTTTTTTGTTTGTCCCACCATAGTTAGTCCAAGGTAAAAAAGTGCGGAGCCAGAAAATGAACTGCCCAGTCCGTCAAGAAAGTTTTCAAGGTATTCAGGAATTTTCTGGCCAAGAATAAAGTTTGAGGCAATTCCTATGAAGACCATGAATACAATTGGGTTCTGCAAAACTCGAAGGAGTGCTAGGCCCACTATTTTGATTTTGCTGTGTGACACAGTGCGGTTATCCCTCCACTTCTGGATTTCACAGAAGATAAACCCCAGAGGGTTTAGCATCATAAGAGATATTGGAGCCACTAGGTAAATGTACTGGAGATACTCTGGGTAAGTGGTTTGATATAAAGCTTCAACTAGAAGACAGGAAATGAAAAGTGATGAGTGATAACATTTCAGTACAAAAATACATTAATATTGAAATTAAATTTTGCTGTCTGAAAACTAGAGAAAAATTATTTAATTATCCTTCAGAAGTAACTGCATTTACAATCAATATAAGATGATGTAGTAAGAGAAGTATGCCAAATCACCATTAGGCCACAGTCATCTAATGAACACATTAAAGATCAAAGACTAACTATCCAAAACTATTTAATGATTCTACAAATATTCAACATTTCCAGAAAAAAAGAAAGAAAACAATATAGCAATCCCATGCACCCTTTGAGTCATCCCAAATGCTGAAAAAAAATTGGTTTTAATCTGAATTGCTTTTCCTCCCCAGAAACATGAGAACTGTGGAGAATTAAATGCATCTTTGCAGGACACAAGTTTCTTCTCATCTCAGGGGAGTTTCACATCTCTGGAATTTAACCAGTTTTCAGTGGGTAAGTCAGGTGTGATCTTTCTACATTGATTCAATACAACACAGCAAAGCAACAACCAAATAAAAAATACACTATCATATAATTATTAGTTCATTCTCTGGGACTAGTCAGGACAAGAGTTACCGCTGTAGTTCTGGTCCCTCAAGGAACTTTAAATCACAAGCATTTGTTTTCATTGCTACTACATACTTTCGAGTCAAGGTAGAATTGCTTCTTATTTCAAGTTTGTGCTAACAGCACTTCAAAAATCATGACAAGACTCTGGAAAGATATACAAGATTCCATTCTAGGGTGAATTAAAAAACCCCAATATTTTTAAAGCAGGATGTTATCTTTAACCTGCCTTATAATGTTATTATTTCAAGTAATTTTCAGAAACACGCAAAGTAATGCTTTCCATTTTAGTTTTTCCTACCCTTGTTAGAGAGAAACACATTTTTTCCCCAGGCAGAAGTATCTTAATATGCAGGTGCCTTCTACTTGTACTACAAAGAATATTAAGAAAAGGAAGCACTATTGCATAAATACACCTACTAGACCTTTCTATGGGATAACTTAGCACTCAAAGTACTAAATAAAGTTTAAGATCACTAAACAGCCAACTGTTGCAAGTATTTCCATTTCCCCGTATACTAAACCTGTTCTGTTTCTGAAAAAGTCTTCCCTTGTGACTACATTTTTCAAAATCCAAAAGATTTTTACCTTCATATTATTCAAGCATCTGGAATGACAGGATCTACTAAGTGCTAAATCAGCACTTACTGTAAACAGTCTCCTCTTTAGACTGAATAAACTGACATTCTCAATTAGTTGATTTCCAATATATAAGAAAAGGCACTAAAGTTGCTTTTCCTCTTACAGGCCATGATTAAAGAACGTATACAAGAGCTACCTGTCCTAAAATCCTGAATAAACTGCTGAACAGAACTACCAACCTGTGCTTAGTTACCACATTTAACAAGCCAGTTTTAAGCACTAAATATATTCTGATAAATAAAACCACTTTAAACAGCTGGACACTTTTTAAGTAAATTTTTTTCTAAAACCTCAAACTTTAGAGTTTTTATCCTCCTTTTTACAGAATGCCCATTTCAATCAAATGCAGCTCAACAGGAGTCACGTGTAAATAATGCCCGAGTGAAAAATGTAATAAATCATTATTTTTTGGCAAAGTGAAACTGTATACTTAATACAATATATTAAGGTCTATAAATACTTTAACTGATTTATGAAGTCATAATGCATTTTCCTGGGTAGCAAAAAGTGGAATCAATGTAGATTACTGAGTCAGTGGGTGGAAAAAAAAATAAGAAAACACCCTTAAGGAACCATTAAGACAGTGAAAATAATCCACAACTATCTCTGATGAAAATTTTTCTTTTTATTTAAATCAAGGTGCCTGCTTGCTGATCATAACAAAAAATTGAAATCAAAGATACTTTAATACTTTAAAAAAAAATTAATTCTCCACATCCCAGCTGCTCAAAATTACATATAAATCACACACTAGTTCATGCTTAATACAATTAGCACCACTAACTGAGCCCTCATCCCCACAACACTTCTGCTATACCTGTGCTTTAACAATACAGCACAGGAGTAGATGAAGCTGTTCTGTCAGAGTTGTATCATCTCACCCAGTAATAAAAACCAAACAGACAAAGCTTTCATCATAGTAATTCTATCTGTGTCGGGGGGGGTGCTAGTAAACCTCTGTAACAGTTGTTTTTCACCCCAACATCAGTTTGTAGTGTAGAACTATCGCAACAGTGATTAGAGAAAAACAGAGTGGTGATCTTTGAAAAGTTAACCTGCATTTTAATTTTCCTATGTGCAAATCTTTGTTAAACAGCAAAAAAAAGCATAGCGGTTATTAAAAAAATTACATGGGATGAAAGCTCAGGACATTATTTATTTATTTAAGAGTTCAAACTGCCTTTTTAAATAATGTTATTATAATACACAGATTTGTCAATACTGATTTTTTTTTCCCTTACAAATTTCAACTGAAGCAGCCTTTAAAAATGTATTTCCTTTAAAAGATCAGGTTTTGCTCAAAACACTACCTATCATCATACATAAAAGGAATAAGCAAGACATTCTTTGTTGCCCAGTCCTGCAAACACTTCAGAGAAGCCACTAACAGTAAAAAGTTTGCACTCGTGACAGTGTGAACCAAACACTGGTGAAAATTTGGGAATGGGAGAAGGGAAAGGACAGGATAGGAAATAAACAGCTCTAAGAAATAAACAACCCTTAAGCTTCTACAGTGTTGCATTAAGTATTCCAGTAAAGTTCTTAATGAACTAAATGTTGTGAATTTGGCCAGATTGTACATAGAAAAAATATGAATCACATCTCATAAATCATGAAATACTTGAAGAAAGTACATGTAATCTGACAAGAAAGTAATTCAAAGTAGAAAGAATGTTTTAATTAGAAGGATACAATGGAAATATGTTCAGACAACCTCAAAATAGAAAAAAGAGAAACCCTAATTGGCATTTTAATCCACTACCAAGAAACAAAGACGTAATCCTCACAACCCTATTTGTGATATACTTCTGATTTATCTCAAGAGGAATAAATCTCAGGAGATGCAACTGAGGGAAATAGGGTATTTTCATCCAAGGAAGAATTTTTCTATATTTTATGCATATCCAGCAAATTTGAAGAGACTAAGAAAGATTCAAGATTGTCCTGAGCATACTGCTCTGGAATAGGGAGAAAGAAACTGCCAACTCCTCAAGTAATCTAAAATACAGAGCTACTTGTTGTTACGTATAATCTGGAATTGCATGTTTAAGCTTCTCTTTCGTAACTGTGTTTTCAATTCTGTCATCAAGTAACTTGCTTTTTCCTTTGCTAGAACAAACTTTCTTTCTTATTTTATTCTTAACCTTGTCTAGATGATGAGTGATCTCGAGTGAATTTGAGAGGCACAGAGTACTTTCTCTTCAGGGAGCAGCAAACAAATAAAACATAGGCCAGGCATCCTCTCCAAATGCCTTCCACTCAAGGTGTATTTTGAAGATCCCAATACCTGCAGTGTGCTTTCCCACATCAGCCACACAGGTCAGCCTGGGAAGAGGTAGCACTGGAAGCTACACGGACACAAAACAGCCTCCCAAGGCAGGTAAAAAGCACTGCAATTCAGACAGTAGCAGGTGGGAGAAGCCTGCTACAACTCCAGATCATCCTAAGTATCACAGTATGCACGGCTAAAAGCATATTAACATACCATTAAGAAAACCTATAAAAAGGAAAAAGAAAAAAAAAATCTTGCTTATCAAAAGGGAAGAAAATAATAGTCTTGCAGATTGGGATAAAATAATTTAATAACTGATTTTGCTTGGAATTCAGAATATAGGCTTACAAGAACAAGACTACACATCAATACAAGTTATACTCTTGAATGCCTCTCTGTGTTTTGTTTGTTTGTTTTTTAGCTCCACTGGACTGGTGGTTAGTTATGCACCCCAAGGATGGCACCACAGCCACATAAAATTCCAATTTGATACACACAAATGCAAGTTACCACAAATCACACAGCAATCTTGCTTTTAAAAGACTGACTTCTTCCAAGACTATATCCTAAAGCGTGCCTACTGGCCACAGTAGAATAAAGATTAAGGGATAAAACACGATTGGCTACATAAATAATGTTAAGCAGCACAAAAGTTAGAGGTTTCTTCTGAACAGATTTAAAGTCTGTCACACGCACTCCACAACCAGTAGGCACCAACATTATGGCTGGATGTTTTCTTTCAGCTAAACTAAGAGGTAACGCCAAATCAGTAAAAAACCCACTACACCTATTTCAGAGGCCAGAGGTACGGGCTCATACTTTGCAAAGCAAGGAATTTTGGTCTTGAGGGAAACTCTGGCAATTTCCCACACAGAAAATTGCCTGCAGTAAGTGTAAGGTAATTTATACCAATTTTGAAATTATATTTTAAATACTTTTTTTTTTTTAAATCTGATTTACTTTAATATGACAAGATCATATAGACAATGGTAGTTGAATTGTTTTAAATCCTGTCTCATTCACACCAGCTGGCAGTTTTGTTCCCTTACTAAAACGCACATGGTCTGAGGTCAAGAAATGTGACTTGAGAAATGGCTTTGATAACTCATAACTTCAGTTCAGAAGTCAATTTCAAACTATGGAAAAATAAAAGCAAACATGTCTAGAACACTGAAAAATAATTTTAAAGAAGAAAGCATACTTACCTATTGGATATCCCAGTGCAAAGTCATTGCTTTGTGTAGCAAAAATAGGGAACAAACCTGCTTTGCTGAATCGATTCTCTGGACTGGCTACCAACAATGTTAAAACGCAGACTAAGAAAAACACAGCAGCTTTGGCAACTAAAATACTGTACAGGAAGGACCAATTCACATTAGAAAAGTTAAGTACCACCATGTTTTTGAACAGTAGGGCTGGGAGTGCAAAACGGGACACAAAATTTCCCAGTCCTTTGGCCTGAGTTGATGTAATAATGTTGGCTCTTCCAGCTACGTAGCCACAAAGAATTATTCCAAAGCATTCTAACAGGGCTGGGAAAAGCCTGCTTATTGACATAGAAGGAGTACCGCCAGTGGTATTGAATCCAACTTGTTCAGGCAAAGGAATAGACATATTAGCTGAAGATGAGAGGTTCTTTGCATTGAAGTCTGAATAGCTATCCATTTTCTTTGATCACCTCTTCCAAAAAAAGAGCATGAGATGATCTCATCTGTAAAAGAAATAAAAGTATTTATTTATTAACTTCCAGAACTGTGTTTGTGAATATTTATGGTATTAGGCTTGCTAGCAGAAGAGTTTACACTTACAAGTGCATTACAAATAAATAGAGACAAATAATAAGTAACTAAAGAGAAACAACTCTGAGAAAGAAGAATGCTGAAAAATCATTCCATACACACATAATCTTCACACAACTCCACGCAATTCAAAAAGACAATTGACAGAGGCTAAAAATCCCCAAAGAAATTTGAGGGTAACACCGAAATATTAAAACTAAAAGTAGATTGGGCATTCAAAAAACAAAAAATCCATTGGAAGGAAAGGAGATATAACAAGGATGGTTTTGTTATTATTCTAGGATCTAAACATCATTTAGAATAAATTACAAACTTTCAGCACTTTCCAGTCCTTTCAGAAAACAGCAACTGCTAAATTCTCAGTGTATATTCCTCACTTTCCCAGACTACCATTACAAGCCTAGTTAACTCTCCAACAGAAAAGCACAAGACTCTTTACATACTCGTTAGCAGCTTGTAACTTTCCTTACTTTCTCAGCTCCCTGTCAATTCCCGACTACAATTCTCACATACTCTGCTTTCAACAATCAAATTTTAGGTTTTTTTTCTAACACCTTTTGTTTGCCCCAGGATATCTTATCTCAGGTCCTCCCTAAACCATGTCCTACTTGGTTCTTTTTCCTTCACAATAAAAATACACTTCGAACTCCAAATATCAAAATCCCATCCTTGACCTCTCTTTAACTACTGCTGTTCACCTCTGCTTTATGCATAGTTGGGAGTCATCCTTCACCTCCATCTCTAGATCCTATTTAATCCAGGTTCTGCCCCTGAAACAATTCTTACCAAAATCCTGAGAGGCCAAAATCTTCTTAAACTCTCAGAATTGGTGTTCCATCTTCATCCTTTGTGACCATCATACACCTTTATCATAATCATCCTCTTGAAATTTTGCCTTTCCCATATCTTTTGTAATTATAGTGCCTCCTAATTGTCCTCTCATCTCTACTTGTTCCTATAACATTTACATGGGAGGATCCCTCTAAATTTCTGTGGGTGCTGATAGGGCTCCTTCCTTGTTCCTCTTTTGTCTCCCTACGTCCTCTGCCTGTGTATTTTCATAAGCACTTACTTGATTACAAGAAGATGACTCATAGATCTCTCTAATCCAGACCTATTTTCTTCTGTTAAAACTATCATTTCAGTCTATCTCCAAGATCTCTTTTGTGAATATCCTGCTGTCAATTCAAGTCCAATGAGCCTGAAACTGTCATCCTCCTACTCTCCCCAAAAGATGCTCCCTCAGTTACTCTGTGCCGTGTATCTATTTTGCTAGAGGCGAGTGACAAAGGTTACAAAATCCTCTCATTTGGAGGAAATGCAAACCTGCTAAACTTGTATTCATCTATAACTCTGTTGCAAGGAAAATCTTTGCAGTCTATCAGTATCAGTTCTTTTTTTGTACATCCTTCCACAGACAACTCTGCACATCAAAACCCACTTGGTTTCATTTTCTTTTACAGTATAAGCTTATGCCCTCTTAATCTTTTACAGAATAACAAGAGCCCTTACAAGAACATGAGCGCCAAGCAAGGAAGATAAATTTGACCAAAAATTGTAGCTTCTCCACTCTGGCACAAAAACATTTGGCAAGGCCCTCTCTACCTTCAGGAAAGATTTAGAGATCAAATCATCATATCCCTCTTCAAGTTTGTACCTTGCTTTGTGCAACTTTGACCTCTCCCAACATTTCAGTATCATGTGCTAATGATACACTTTCCAGTTGCAAGGAATCCACATATGACACAGTGGCCAATAATCTAGTTAATCACACTATTGCTTACCCATATTCCTACATACAATTCTTTAGGCCCATAACAGTGAAATTTAAGTATGCGTTAAATTAAGTACTTATGTACAACAGATATGTCTTGTGACTCCTGATCTTCGCTTGTTACCAGTGATCCCCCTTGAAAGGGCTGACTATAACACAGCAGGTTCTATATGCAAGTAGACATGTAAAGTCTGCAAATCAGATGAAGAGAAAGGACAATTACACAGGTATTCATCAGTCAATAGCAAGGTCTTGCCAGAAACAGACATGGCTTTGGTGATACAGCTCTGAACCATGTGTAGTCCATCAGCTAACTCTATGTATAAAATTTTGACATGACTAAATCCTAAAGTACTCTGGAAGGGAAGTCAAGATAACTTACCCCACTCTGTAGAGATAGAAAATAAGGCAAAGGTGAACTGATTTGCTCTAAGCCATTTAACATATCAGTGGCAAACCTGAGATTCCCAATTCCCAAACCAGTGCTTTGGACAGCATAATGGCTAGATCTGTGCAAATTAACAACTGGTTTAAGAGTCTTCCCAGTCTCTTTGTATCCTACCTGCAGGGAATAGAGAACTCATAACAGCCAGGTAAATAAGCAAATATATCAAGTCAGAGCAAAGGTGAGATCTTGTATGCTCTGTTTCAGACCCTGGCATCCAGCATACACGTATCCATTCACATGTAGCACAAACTCTTTGACTGATGACTTTTATTTACGCCTGAGCCTTTTAGTAAGCACTCCTACAGTGCTGTTGTAATTTATCTGGGCTGAGCAGCTGCATCATCCAAATCTGTCCAGTAGCCTTGGCTACCTCTTCTCCTAAGGAAAATGAGTCTCACTCCAAATAGGGCTTATTTTAAAGGTTGTATTTTTCTGATGTTATTGATGATACATTCACCTAGATGTATTTGGACCAGGAGCTCAAAGCATTATCTACTACAGAAAGATAGAAAAACTTTCAATAAATGAAGCAGACAATAAACCATTTCTTCTACTAGCAAAACTTAAGGAAGCTGTTGGGATTTGCAAAATGTCTAAAAGAGGATCAGAGTCAGATTTCCAACACTGAATTCTTGAAAGAAGCCAGCCACAGTCTACATTAGCTGCAAGGTGAAAAGCACGTTTTTGGCACAGCCCCACCTCAAATTCTTCAAGCTTGCAGCACTGCATAGAAGTAAAGCTCCTGGCAATGCAACATGTTCAACCTACTCCCTGCTCTGTTGAGGTATTTTCTTCAGCAGTAAGATAAACGTGATGCTTTTTTAACCAAATGCAACATTTGGTCTGTAGCAGAAGTATATTCTGGCTGTATCTATCCCTAAATTCTGCTATTCCTTCTCATCCTCTGTGCCTTCCTACTCAAGGCTCTATCTTTTAACACTGTGTCAATACCAGTGACATTTATTTTCTGATATTCTTACTCACAAAAGCCACAGTCTACATACAGTTATATAGTGGGAAGTTATATAGTCTTTTACCACTATAACATCTCCTTCCTCTCTTTCTCTCCTGAAAAGTGGTTTGAGCTGTCCAGGCTTTTTGCTTGCACAGACTAAGCCGTCACAGGTGAGTCTATCAATATAGCTGCACAAGTCCATACTTTTAAACCAAAATTGTGCCTAAATTAATTAAACACCTCTCTTGCCTCTGTATTAAAATTACTATTTCTTCTCATAAAATCACTACAAGTGCCCTTGTCCCCATGTTATAATTCAGGACTTAAGTAAATATGCAGAAGACTGACTCTCTAGTTGTATCAGTCAGCAGCTAAATCCCATATCTTCCTCACTAGATCAAAACTGACATGGATATACACCCACACATCCTAAAACCATCTTTACAAAAGTGCCACAAATATTCCTGCAGCCTTCCTTCAGGCTATCTTGACCTTGAAATTCACTACAAGGGACCCTGTAAAGTCAGTCAGGCCCAATTTTTGGTGAACAACATGAGTTTCAAAGACAGAAACTGCATCACAGTAAAAGCCGCTACTGGCACTCCTCCAAGGGCTTTGAGTGTGAATCATCTCTTCAACTCCAGAGATGCGCACATCCCAAAACATTGACATTTAACACAGATTTTTTTATTGCAGAGCAGTGGGCATTTTCCAGAAATGCAAGCTCTTGCACAGCATGCTGCTTAACGCAGTGAATACATCTCTCATCCCCTTTTGCTCTATAGGATACATGCATCTACATAACTGTTGTGAGATTATGTAATGACTAATCGCAGATTTAACATACAGCCTTATCACACCTGGGCCTTAACTCAAGCTAGCATCTCACATGAGCGAAAATGTCTTCAATTCATAGTTCTTAATGAAATCAAAGATATTGATCTGATGCAAAACCAGAACCTTATATATTCTACCAGAAACTCATCTGTTCTTATAGTAGATGTAACAAATTAACTAGTCAAATGACACTAAAATAAGGAAATATAACACAGTTCCAAAGGAAAGCACTTAGCTTTGACTCCATAGGACATATGATCTGTGGTTATCCCTTCAGGGATTGAGGATTGATATTTCAGTCTTTGAAAACTCAGCCACAGCTGCATTGTTGGGAACTGCAGGCCAGTAAAGACAAAGCTTTTAGGAATAATACTGCCTCATCTGCTGTCAACTGTGTCAAGCGTACCTGCTTGCAGCCACATGGTCAGCTTGCATTTGTAAGGAAGGACAGTACAGCCAACACGAGAGGAAGCCTGGTATGAAGACCAACAATAGACAGAGAGCAAGGAACAAGTGCAATTTACAATTCCCTTGAAACAAACTGGAGCACTGATATTTGCCCACTTCTCTCATAGGTTGTCAATATTTGTAAAGTGTTAAAATTCACCAGACCAGAAACTCAATTCTCCAGCAGCTGTGAGTTAAGCAACATTAGGTTCCTCTCTGAGTACTGAAATAGAGTAGTAGTCCCCTTTTCCAGCAGGAAAATCCCTTTCATCTTCTTTTTTAATGAAAGTTAAAGATGGTATGAGAGAATAGAAGAGATACCTCAAGGCACATCTTCTCTCTGGTCTCTCACTCTCAAGCTTTCAGCTGGTAATCACTCTCAGGATAATTCTGGTGACACTGGCAAGGCTGTGCACGTTGTTCATAAATTATATCCCACAACGTGACCTCATTTCCTACTTTAATGCAATGTAGAAACATCCCAAGGATGACACATTATTTTATTCAGGAGGCTGAAAGTGGAATCAGGGCAGGAAGAGTTACCATTCACAGCAGCTCTAGCACCTCATCCTCAGTTCAGGTAAGAACGTACCATATGCATTTTCGTGTAAAAGTTTGTACAGTAAGTCAAAGAGGAAGCAACTTTAGAGAGTTACAATGATAAAATTAAGTGGGAAGAAGTGATTATTGTGGTTCCTATTCTTGCAAGTTAACCGCAATTTTTACTTTTCTCTTTACTGGGCTAAGAAAGCAGATAGAGGACAATATTGTAACAGCAATTAACCCAAGAAGTGGGCCACCCCTACCTTGAAATCCAGACAGTGTTGCAAGAAATACCAGACCTTAAGTGTCTCTGAGCAGTTGTCTCTCAAGATCACACTTCCTTTTTCAGTTTTTTTTTCTATGCTGTCATTACAAGAAAGCACCTGGACAGCAGACAAGTGGGGGAAGCTGCGTGCACAGCAAGCCCGGCGAAGCGGAGGCCTGCCCTGAGCACGCGACTGGCAGAGCTCACAACGGCAACGCTTACAGCTACATCAAAATTTGCCAGTGCGGGTGTTCAGACAAGACCAAATGAAGCAACAGTTGCCAACAGCACAAAATATCGAGCCAGAAAAACAAATGGAAAACATACTTCCCCTTAATTTTCAATTAGGCTCATCTCAGGGCTTGTAAACAGATAGATAGCTTCTGATGCAAACAGCAAAACATTCTTCAAAAGACAGATTATATTTTATTGCTAGCACCCCTTAAAAAGCACCTCACTTACACCCACTTGCCAAATAGGGATGAAACATCCTTTGACTTACAGTGAGAAAGCCACAACAAAACAAAAACCTCTCACCTGCCCCTTTCTTGCCCATCACTGCTCTCTCCCTTCCATGGTCACCCCAGCTACCAGCGAGCACACAGCATTTTCACTCAGAAACACCCGAGAGAGAAAAAAAATAACAGCACTGCCCTGTGTGACAGCTACCTCGTTAGAAAATAAAGCCAGAAGTCGGGGGAAGGAGCGGGCAGCTTACCTACTTAGCTTTTGGTAGGCGCCTCCGCACAAGGGTACGTATAGAGGATTTGTACTCTGCCAAGGTGAGAACCTCTCCAAGGCCGAGGCCGCCGGTACCGAGGCCCGAGAGAGGAGGGGAGGGCCGCCCCGGCCCGCCCCGGC